CCAGGCCTGGAGACAGCTGGAGAGGCTTTGGAGAGGCCACATCTCTAGGCCAGGTTGGAGAAGAGCCCCCAGACTCAGCTGTCCTTCCTGCAGGACAAGCTGAGCCTTGATTATTTCCCTGCCTATGGCTGGCTCTTTGTCAACGAGGCAGACAGGGCCCCCTGGAAATTGGAGGGTGCCCAAGGCTCCTTGGTGGAGCCTGCTGTGGACTGGTCTGCAGCTGCCACCTTGACCTCTCAGCTGCAGCAGAAGTGGGGAGCCAGCCCTCACCATGTGGAACAGACCACCCTGAGGGAGCTGAGGCTGAACACCCCCACTCTGCCCAGCTGCTGAGGAGAGGGAGCCAGCCACCTTGATGGCACCCCAGCAGTGACACAGAGACATCCCAGGACCAGGGAAACCCAGCTCCAGTCAGAAAAAACAGAACACAGCGCAGCCTTGCAGCCAGTCATTACTGGGCAGCCTCCAGGGTGGCATGGGTGGGTGTCTCTTGTCTGGAGAGCTGGAGGAGTAGCTGCTGGGGGAGACCCTGCCATCCTGGCCATCACCACCACCACAAGTGACATGCAGCACCCTGGAGCTGGGCATCTCCACTCCAAGCAAGGCCTTCCCTGTGACCTAGAACAAGCAGAGAAGAGGCCTGACTGCCCCCTCTACTGTGGAGCTCCAAAGTTCCCTGTGATTGGCTCCAGCTGGATTGACTCCACAGCCCAACTTGTGCTGACCTCGAGCCCCTCTTTAGCTTCTTCCTGGAACTCCTTCTGGTCATTTGCCTTCTCCCCAAGAGCAAGCTGACGTGGATTCACAATGGCTGGGCTTCAGATCCAGAAGGTCAGCTCCCTCCCTGCCTCTATGTAAGAGGCAGGAACACACAAAAGGCTGCCCCCCCTGAAGCTTCCCAGTGTTCCCTCCCCCTGTGGTGGGTGACTCCCAAGGTTTCCAGGCTCAGGCCTTCAGAGTGTCAGTGTCAGAGATGGCTCCTGTGGCAGTGACCCAGATGCCCCTGCCATCTGCCCTTCACTCCCTGTGTCTACAGAGGGAAAGGCCTCAGTTTGAAGGGGACATGACCACCAAAGGTCCCCAGGGCCTGCTGCTAATTGCACTTCTTTGTGGAAGATGCCTTTCTTATTAGGCCCAAAAGAAATGTCCTTGAGGAAGGGAAGGAAGAGGGCTCTGGCTGACATCTAGGTGGGACAGAGGCAGCAGCTAGTGAAGGCCTAGAAGTGAAACTTGGAGCATTGTCCTGGTGTTTGCCAGTTGCAAGATTTTGTTGCTTTGTGACTGGAGTCCAGCAAGCAGTAGTGGAATGGATGGCTTCCAGGGCGCTATCACCTAGACCCGAAGGAAAGAGCAAAGATGGGCGATAGAAAGGGGCTGGGGGAAGAGTTGTTGACAGTGACATGACCCTGAGCTGTATCCCCAGCAGCTGAAAGTCCAGCCACCTCCCCGTGTCTTCCTTTCCTTCCTTTATGTGTCTTATTCCAACCTGACAAAAGAGAAGTCACATAAAGCATCATGGTCCTCAAAACATCCATCAGCCTCTGGCCCATGGAGTCATGGCTCTTAGGGGAGCTTTAGGGGGGCTGCTTGCTCCTGAAAGAGGTGGATTATCCAGGATACAGAGGCAAAGCTAGCATGGATGGCAACAGACCTTCCAATCTGCTGTCCCAACTGATATGGACTGCCTCCCAGAAGGGCTGCAGTATCCTTGTCCAGAGCATGCCCACGGGCTACTGGGTCGTGATGTTTAGAGCGTGTGGTCCTTGGTTCCTTTCCAAAGTGAAGAGTCTTTGGTTCTGCCGTTCCTGATGTGTGTGGACAAGTGGTGTCTGCCTGCATCCCGAGGTGGGAGCTTGGAGGCCCAGCCTCTGGACACTGGATCTCCTGGATGACGGACTGACGCTGTATATATGAGTACCTTCTCTGTAATGATCTTGTTTGTTCATGCAGATCTGTGGTCGAATGCAGGGATTGTTTCTCCTTTTTTCCCCCAAACCTCAGAATATTCCCCAGCGGCTGGCATGTAGTAGCTGCTTTGTAAATGCTTATTTCTTGTAGAGGCAGCTGGCTGTCCCATTCTTGGGTTCAGAGAGACCTGCCTCCAAATCCTGCCCCAGACATGCAGTAGCTGTGCGACCCTGGACAAGTCTCTTAGGCTTTCTCACCTCTGCTTGCTCATCTGTCAGATGGGCAGAAGGCTGGCTCCTCCCTCACAGGGTCAAATGGCATACCATATGTATATTGCTTTGCATACCTTAGGCTGCTGTATAAATGCTAGCTACCATTATCATCTTAACTGTCGCTGGACAGACATTCCCTCAGTTCTCTCCTGAGCCAGAGGAGCTCAGTAGACGCAGATACCTCAAAAGGGTTTTCTTCCTTTCCTTCTGTGAATCATGTAGATTGGTTCCAGATGGGTCCCCAGAGGTGGGAGACAGAAGGGGCAGTGGTCCCCTCTCCTACCTGGCCTTCCCTGGCCATGGCATCATGGCCTCTTCCCCCCGCTCCCATTTTTGTGTCTGACTTTCCTGGTCTTCTTCCACCCAGAATCCCCTGGTGCATCTGTCAAGGCCTGACAGTGAGTGGGACAGCTACCCTGGTCTCAGCAACAGGGGCTGGGGTCAGGGCAAGATTCTGTGTCAGGCAGGGTGGCCAGCAGCTTGATGACCAAGTGGGGACTGCTGTCCCTGGTCCAGTGATGGAGTGGTCCCATACCAGGGTTTTTGGTCTTGATGGTGTTCCCTTTGCCTCCTGCCCTGGACTGCAGGTCTGCCAGGAGGGTCTCAGGCACTTTCTTCTCCTTCTTCTATGTGTAAGGTTTCCTTTGAGTCTTCTCCTGACTATATCGGCTCCCTCTCATTTAATACCATTCCACAAGGCTTTATTCAGGGCCTCTTCTGTGTCCAGTGCTGGAGATACAGAAAATAGTTTTAAAGCCTTCCCTTACCCCAAGGAGCTGGGAGGAGGTTTGTTCTCTTAATCTACTCATTGCCCACGTGGGAGATTTTGAACAGGAAAAGACCTGAGAAGCAAGCTATATAATCTGACTCCTTTATTGTATGCTTGTGGAAATTGAGGCCCCAAGTGGTTAGGCACTTTTCCCAAGGAGAAGCAGGTCAGGCAGTCTTTGAAACCTGTCCTTTGATTCCCAACACAGATTTTGTTCCCTGCAGTAGAATAGGTCTCCCTTGGGGAGGTTGAAGGTAAATGTTATGAGAACTTGGCCCTAGATGACTGGGACTTTCAGCAGCATTCCGTCCCTGCTGCAAGCACCCCAGAAGTCTCTGCTGACTGTCAGAGAAGGGGCAGGAGCTGTTCCTTTTCCATCCCAGACCTCTCTGGTATAGAGGTGTATCTGGGCAATCCAGCAGTACAGAAAAGTCCTCCTTGGGGGAAGGGCCATCACTGCTTCCCAAACCCTTTCCCTCTTCCTGTTGGCTTCCAATTTTATCCCTCTTTCACAACTACCATAGGGCCAAAGAGGGCCCTTCTCCCCCTCCTACTGGAGAGCTTGACCTAGAGACTATGGAACCTTGAGGTCCCTTGTTCTTCCAGAGTTGTGTGATGTTTGCCTTCTGACATAGAAGGGGGCTTGTGCAGAGCATGGGCTGGATGTTCTCAGCCTGTTTCCAGACCTTTGAGGGCCTGCTGCTAGAGAAGGGAGACTCATCTCTGAGGGGTGTGTGTTATAAATGGGGTACTTTCCATTAACCATGTATTTTCCTTTTGTGTACTGAGGTATATATGTGATCACCCAAAAGGAAGGGTTTACTGTTTCTCTGTGTCCCCACCATCTAGCAGCAGGTTTAAAGCTGGGAGGACTTAATCACTCTTTTAATCTCTTGTTAATTGTTTAAAGATTCCTTTTATTGTCTGCTGAAGCAAAAGCTCAGTAGAATTAGTCAGTACAAAAGGGCTATTTTCCTTCCCCACTGTGAATCCTTTAAAGTGGTTCCAGCTGGGTCCCCAGAGTTGGGTGGGAAAGGGGCCAATTGTCCCATCTCCCACCTAGCCTCCATATGGCCACAAGGCCATCCCTATTGTGTGTGTGTGTGTGTGTGTGAGAGAGAGAGAGAGAGAGACCAGTATGTTTGTGGCATCTCTGAGTGGTTATGGCTGCATGGGTGAATCTGAGGCATGTTTGTGTGGGTGTGGATGTGTGACATGTGTTTGTGTGGCGTTGGGTGTGTATCCTTTCTTAATCCTAGGTTACTGAGTATCAAAGTCTCCAGCAATTGGGTGGGTTTATGGAGTGCAAAAGGTGTCAATGTTAGGACAAGCCTGTGGATGGAGCTCTTGTCTTTTCCACAAGATAGCAGTGTTGCCTGGCCAGGAAAGCTTCATTGGAGAATATGGTCCATGGCAACATGTCTCTATAAAGCTTGGCCTTTGGACCAGGAGTGGTTAGACAGGGCCCAGCCAAGGAGAAGTAGAAATGCCTGATGGACTGTCTTGCAAAACCACTTTCCCTTTGGAAGGGGCTTCCCTTTAGCCTCCTCGTGTATTGTAACTCTCGAAATCCTGTTAATCCCGTGATTTTGTGCAGTGATTCTTGTGTCTAAACCTCTTTTCTGCCTTTTTCAGAATAAAGGACTTGTTTCTTACCTGGTTCTTGTGTCTATAGTCTGTAGCCTTGTCCTTTGTCCCCCTCCTTTTTGGGGAGGATGCCTAGACTTGGGAAGCCCCGAGGGAGGAAGGGAGGGAAGGAGGGAATGGGCACTGAGGTCAACAGGCCCTTGACAAAGAGCATCCCTATGAGACAGGAGAGGAAGCTGAGTCACACACAAGTCCCGTGGCTCCCAGGTGTTACGCAGGTCTTCCAGCCTCTGTGCCCACGGCTCGATGTACCACTCCCAAAGAGCTGAGGTGGGCTGGTCCTAGAGCCGCGCCGGGGCAAAGCCGAAGCCTGCCCTTCTCACCTGCCCAGCAGGCAGTCAGTGGCGCCCTGCTGGACCAGCCCTGAGAGACCCCGCCTCGTGACATCACCATGGCGAGGCATTCCCTCAGGGGACCGAAGATCCTCAGGCATCCCAGAATGCCCCTCCGCAAAGTTGAGGGCGGGGAGGGGGTACTGTTGCTAGGTAAAAGATCGTTTCCCCGGGAAACTTCGCCCCCGAAAGTCCAGTGTTAGCGCCTCCTAGATCGGAATAACGGAGCTGCCCTCTCGAGGACCCAGTTAGGGGCCTCTTGATTAAGGCCGCTGTATGCCACACCTCGTCCATGATGCCGGCACTCGGGGAGAACTGGGCTGGAGGTCCGCGCGCGCAAGGCCCTCTCCCTGCCGGGGCCCGAGGACGGCGGCTGGCGAGGCTCAGGCGGCAGCGGGGCCAGAAGGCTGTTGCAGCGCAGGCGGGCGCTGGCCCTTCAAGGAGTCCGCCTCCCAGTTAGGCTCGCGAGTAGGTTCGAGAGGGGAGACGAAGCGGAATCCGGAGGTGACCGCTGCGGTCCCTGTAGCTGCCCCGCGAGGCGGCCGGCCTGTGGGGACCACCACTCTACGCCGGGGTAAGGAAGGACGGGTGGAGCCTGGGCCTGGGCCTGGGCCCATCCGCAGCCTGCAGGGAAGCCGCGCCCGCCTTGTTGTGGACTCGAGCTGTGTCACCAGCAGCAAGCGAGTCAAGGGGCAGCTCCACTTACTGAGGGTGGGCCCGAGGGTGGGAGAGACCACTGGGCCCTCTGTGTTCTAAGTCGTCGGTGCCCCTTTAAATGCCCAGCTCAGTTATGGCCTTTGTTTCTGCCTCCGTGACTCTGGCATGCAGGGCCTGTGACATGACTGTCTTGGTGCAGGGAAGGAGTAGCAGAATTCTCGGGCCTCTTTCCCTTGTGAAAACTCACCTAGCACCAGCAGAAGAGAAGGAATGTCTGATAAGGACCTCATTTCTAAAATACATAGAGAATTAAGTCAAATTTATAAGAATACAAGTCATTCCCCAATTGATATGTGGTCAAAGATATGAACAGGTCGTTCTCAGATGAAGAAATTAAAGCCATCTATAGTCATATGAAAAAATGCCCTAAATCACTATTGATTAGAGAAATGCAAATCAAAACAACTCTGAGGTACCACAGCACACCTATCAGATTGGCCAAGATGACAAAACAAGAAAATGATAAATGTTGAAGATGTGGGAAAATTGGAACACTAATGCCTTGTTGGTGGAGTTGTGAAATGATCCGACCATTTTGGAAAGCAATTTGGAACTATGCCCAAAGGGCTATAAAAGTGTGTGTACCCTTTGACCCAGAAATAACACTTCTAGGGCTGTATCCCAAAAAGATCATACAAATGGAAAAAGGACTGACATGTACAAAAATATTCATAGCAGCTCTTTTTGTGGTGGCAAAGAATTGGAAATTGAGAGGGTGCCCATCAATTGAGGAATGGCTGAGCAAGTTGTGGTATATGAATATAATGGAATACTATTGTGCTATAAAAAATGATGAGCTGGAGGACTTCAGAAAAACCTGGAAAGCCTTGTATGGTCTGATGCTGAGTGAAGTGAGCAGAACCAGGAAAACGTTGTTCACAGTAACAGCCAGGTTGTGGGATAACTAATATTGATAAACTTAACCCTTCCCAGCCATACAAGGATATCTCCAAAGTCCTAGTGATGGAAAATGTTATCCACATCCAAAGAAAGAACTATGGAATTTGAATGCAGATGGAAGCATACTATTTGCTATTTTTTTTCTTTTCTGTTGAGTTTTGTTTCCTCTTTCTGGTGGTTCCTCCTGTTGGTTCTAATTCATACTTACAACATCACTAATGTGAAAATATGGCTTAATAGGAATGTATGTATATAGCCTATATCAGATTGTGCTCTGTCTTGGGGAGGGTGGTAGGGAAAAAGGGGGAGAAAAATTTTAAACTCAAAAGAATATGGAAGTGATTGTTGATATATCAAAATAAATTAATAAAAAAAGAAAAAAAGCAAAATTTAATTTTAATTTAATTAAAAAAAAAAAAGAAGAGACAGAATGCAATTTGGAGCAATCTGCAGCCAGCCATACCAGACTTCAAAGCTAGCTTGCCTTGGTCTCAAATCCCACTCTATTCTCTGGACAGTTTAACTGTCCTCCCTCCTTTATGTCCACAATTGCCATATATGACTCCATAAGGTTGTAGGAGGGTTCATTTTCCTGGTCCACTTTTTACTTTTCTGAGAAATGTAAGCATATTTTCACATGGTCTAATGTGGCACCATGACTGCCCTCATAACATACCATTTCTGGGTCGTTTTGCCCTTCTTAATGTCCCCGTAAAGCCATGTCCATGGATTTCTTTTTTTTTCTTTTTTCTTTTCTCATTTGGGGTTAAGTGACATGCCCAGGGTCACACAGCTAGTAAGTGTCAAGTGTTTGGTGTGAACTCAGATTTGAACTCAGGTCCTCCTGACTTCAGGACCCCTGCTCTATCCACTGCACCATCTAGCTGCCTAAAGCCATGTCCATGAATGGGCACCCAGATATGATGAGTTTGCAATCACAGGATGAATTCTCTGATTAAATCCCTGGGGGACCTTGGTCTAGTGTTGCCTCTACTCTTTGGTCTCAATTTTCCTACCTTACTCCCTAACCTTTTGAGAAGATGAGACAAATAAGAGCCATTATTAATATCTATAGACATTTTAAAAAATCCCTCCATTTTCCATGTCCAAAAAAAAAAAGAAAGAAAGAATACCTCTTTCATTCTGCACACTGAAGTTCAACAGATTTCTTACCAGAGGTAGTCTATTTCATCCTGAGTTTTTTGGGATTGCTATTGCTCATTATGTTGTTTAGAGATACTAAGTTTTTAAACATCAACTGTACAGTATATAATATTTCTGGTATAAATTGTCCTCCTTAGATCACTATTAGTTCTTCCCAGCTTTTCTCTGTAACCATCTCCTATATCACTTCTTCTTACTATTCCATCACATTCAGATGCTTTATTATCCTGTTCAGTCATTCCCCAATTGATGAGAATCCCCTCATTCCTCAGTTCTTTGCCACCACAAAAAGTGCAACTCTAAGTCTCGTTCTACAATGGGTACTTTTCCTCTTTTTTGATTTTTTTGGGGTGCAGGCTTTGGAGCACTCATTCGGTGTCAAGTGCTGTGTTTACTTTCAGGGATTTTGGGGCACATTTCCAAATTTCTTTCCACAGTATTTCACATAACGGGGCAGCTAGGTGGTTTAGTGAGTAGAGTACCAGCTCTGAATTCAGGGGCAACGGAGTTCAAATCTGACCTCAGACCAAATACTTCATACTAGCTGTGTGACCCTGGGCAAGTCACTTAACCCCAATTGCCTTAAAAAAAATTAGTACTCAGAATAATTGACATAATTCAGAAGTTCATCAATACTTTTCTTAGAGCCTTCAGCATTTCTCAGGTTCCTTTTTCTGTAATCCTGGCCAATCTCATGGGTAAGAAGTAGTACTTCAGAGTTCTTTTCATTCCCATTTCTATTAGTAATTTAGAGCATTATTTCCATATAGAAAATGGTATGTTGGATTTCTTCCTCTAAAACCTACCTAATTCTACTCTATTCATTGACAGTTTTCAATGGGAACATGGAAATCTGACTCATTTCTCTATGTATTTTAAAAATTACACCTTAAAAGGAAAAGTGGTTACTAAATTAAATCTTTCTCTCCTGAGTTTCCCCTGAAGGCATTTAGAAGGAAACCATGAAGGAGAAGTGGGGCTCCACAGCTGCCTGGGGACCTCACAGGCCCTGCAGGGCAGAGGCTCTGCCAGGGAGTCTGGAATAGGAACTCCCATGTTTTTGTACTTCCTATACCACATGGCATTTGGTGCCTCCCTGCATCCATGGAAGGGTGGGAGGGCACTGCTCAGGTGGGCGCTGTGAAGCTCAGAAAACTGAAGAGCCTTGGGCCAGCTCCAGTGTGGGGGAAGGCAGGTCTCCAAGCCGCTTCCTCCTCTTGCTCCCACCATTATTCATTGACTTCATGCTCACCCCTATAGGGGGGCTGTGGGCTGCATTTGTTTGAGAGAATTTCCTCTGACAAATAAGAGAAGACTGGGGTTCTGGCACACTATGGAAACATTGGGGAGTATCCTCTGTGGTGTCAGGAAATCACAGGGGAGCTCTGAGATCCTCACCATTGTGAAGCCTGACACTGACCTTGTGTGAAGTCCTTGCTGACTTAATGTTGACATTTCTTTACAGGCACTCCATTCACTGCCCAGTGTGGGCTTAGGAAGTCTTGGGAAGGCCAGCATCAGGAGATTGACGGTTGGTGATGTTCTCCAGGCCTGGAGACAGCTGGAGAGGCTTTGGAGAGGCCACATCTCTAGGCCAGGTTGGAGAAGAGCCCCCAGACTCAGCTGTCCTTCCTGCAGGACAAGCTGAGCCTTGATTATTTCCCTGCCTATGGCTGGCTCTTTGTCAACGAGGCAGACAGGGCCCCCTGGAAATTGGAGGGTGCCCAAGGCTCCTTGGTGGAGCCTGCTGTGGACTGGTCTGCAGCTGCCACCTTGACCTCTCAGCTGCAGCAGAAGTGGGGAGCCAGCCCTCACCATGTGGAACAGACCACCCTGAGGGAGCTGAGGCTGAACACCCCCCACTCTGCTGAGGAGAGGGAGCCGGCCCATCTTGATGGCACCCAGCAGTGACACAGAGACATCCCAGGACCAGGGAAACCCAGCTCCAGTCAGAAAAAACAGCCTCTGCAGCCAGTCATTACTGGGCAACCTCCAGGGTGGCATGGGTGGGTGTCTCTTGTCTGGAGAGCTGGAGGAGTAGCTGCTGGGGGAGACCCTGCCATCCTGGCCATCACCACCACTACAAGTGACATGCAGCACCCTGGAGCTGGGCATCTCCACTCCAAGCAGGGCTTCCCTGTGACCTAGAACAAGCAGAGAAGAGGCCTGACTGCCCCCTCTACTGTGGAGCTCCAAAGTTCCCTGTGATTGGCTCCAGCTGGATTGACTCCACAGCCCAACTTGTGCTGACCTCGAGCCCCTCTTTAGCTTCTTCCTGGAACTCCTTCTGGTCATTTGCCTTCTCCCCAAGAGCAAGCTGATGTGGATTCACAATGGCTGGGCTTCAGATCCAGAAGGTCAGCTCCCTCCCTGCCTCTATGTAAGAGGCAGGAACACACAAAAGGCTGCCCCCCCTGAAGCTTCCCAGTGTTCCCTCCCCCTGTGGTGGGTGATTCCCAAGGTTTCCAGGCTCAGGCCTTCAGAGTGTCAGTGTCAGAGATGGCTCCTGTGGCAGTGACCCAGATGCCCCTGCCATCTGCCCTTCACTCCCTGTGTCTACAGAGGGAAAGGCCTCAGTTTGAAGGGGACATGACCACCAAAGGTCCCCAGGGCCTGCTGCTAATTGCACTTCTTTGTGGAAGATGCCTTTCTTATTAGGCCCAAAAGAAATGTCCTTGAGGAAGGGAAGGAAGAGGGCTCTGGCTGACATCTAGGTGGGACAGAGGCAGCAGCTAGTGAAGGCCTAGAAGTGAAACTTGGAGCATTGTCCTGGTGTTTGCCAGTTGCAAGATTTTGTTGCTTTGTGACTGGAGTCCAGCAAGCAGTAGTGGAATGGAATGGAATGGATGGCTTCCAGGGCGCTATCACCTAGACCCGAAGGAAAGAGCAAAGATGGGCGATAGAAAGGGGCTGGGGGAAGAGTTGTTGACAGTGACATGACCCTGAGCTGTATCCCCAGCAGCTGAAAGTCCAGCCACCTCCCCGTGTCTTCCTTTCCTTCCTTTATGTGTCTTATTCCAACCTGACAAAAGAGAAGTCACATAAAGCATCATGGTCCTCAAAACATCCATCAGCCTCTGGCCCATGGAGTCATGGCTCTTAGGGGAGCTTTAGGGGGGCTGCTTGCTCCTGAAAGAGGTGGATTATCCAGGATACAGAGGCAAAGCTAGCATGGATGGCAACAGACCTTCCAATCTGCTGTCCCAGACTGATATGGACTGCCTCCCAGAAGGGCTGCAGTATCCTTGTCCAGAGCATGCCCACGGGCTACTGGGTCGTGATGTTTAGAGCGTGTGGTCCTTGGTTCCTTTCCAAAGTGAAGAGTCTTTGGTTCTGCCGTTCCTGATGGTGTGTGGACAAGTGGTGTCTGCCTGCATCCCGAGGTGGGAGCTTGGAGGCCCAGCCTCTGGACACTGGATCTCCTGGATGACGGACTGACGCTGTATATATGAGTACCTTCTCTGTAATGATCTTGTTTGTTCATGCAGATCTGTGGTCGAATGCAGGGATTGTTTCTCCTTTTTTCCCCCAAACCTCAGAATATTCCCCAGCGGCTGGCATGTAGTAGCTGCTTTGTAAATGCTTATTTCTTGTAGAGGCAGCTGGCTGTCCCATTCTTGGGTTCAGAGAGACCTGCCTCCAAATCCTGCCCCAGACATGCAGTAGCTGTGCGACCCTGGACAAGTCTCTTAGGCTTTCTCACCTCTGCTTGCTCATCTGTCAGATGGGCAGAAGGCTGGCCCCTCCCTCACAGGGTCAAATGGCATACCATATGTATATTGCTTTGCATGCCTTAGGCTGCTGTATAAATACTAGCTACCATTATCATCTTAACTGTCGCTGGACAGACATTCCCTCAGTTCTCTCCTGAGCCAGAGGAGCTCAGTAGACGCAGATACCTCAAAAGGGTTTTCTTCCTTTCCCTCTGTGAATCATGTAGATTGGTTCCAGATGGGTCCCCAGAGGTGGGAGACAGAAGGGGCAGTGGTCCCCTCTCCTACCTGGCCTTCCCTGGCCATGGCATCATGGCCTCTTCCCCCCGCTCCCATTTTTGTGTCTGACTTTCCTGGTCTTCTTCCACCCAGAATCCCCTGGTGCATCTGTCAAGGCCTGACAGTGAGTGGGACAGCTACCCTGGTCTCAGCAACAGGGGCTGGGGTCAGGGCAAGATTCTGTGTCAGGCAGGGTGGCCAGCAGCTTGATGACCAAGTGGGGACTGCTGTCCCTGGTCCAGTGATGGAGTGGTCCCATACCAGGGTTTTTGGTCTTGATGGTGTTCCCTTTGTCTCCTGCCCTGGACTGCAGGTCTGCCAGGAGGGTCTCAGGCACTTTTTCCCCTTACATATCTAAGGTTCCCTTTGTGTTTTATCTTCTTTATGTCCTCCTCTTAACATTTAATTCAACGAGCCTTTATTAAGTGCCTTTTCTGTGCCAGTGCTAATAACACAATAACAGAAGCCTTCCCTTTTTACAAGGAGCTGGGAGATAGTGTGGTTTTTTTTCTCCTGCATTCACTCATTATTTATGTGGGAGAACCTGTAGGCATGGTTCATAGGTTTGATCTGAACAGAACCTTTTATGAGAACACCTGGACTGACTTTCCTTTTAAAATTGTGGACCTTGAGGTTCAGAATGGGAAATGTCTTTTTCAAGGTGAAGTGGTTCAGTAAATCTTACAGGTGAGATGATACCCATGTCTTCTGACAGTGAATGCATTGATTTTCCCACTGAAGTACAATGTGTCTCTATTTTCTTTCCTGGCCTCTCAACTTCTACTCTCACAAATTAGTTCTTCCATCAGGAGAGATTGGAGAGGCCAAGGTGAATGAGACAGAAAGGTTGGCTGTAAGTCTTTGGATGTCTTGCTTCATCCCCTCTCTGCTGAAAGCATCCCCTGCCCCCCTGCCAACTCTAGGGACACATACGGCTGATGGCACTTCATCCTCTATTCCGGTCCAATTTTCGGGCCCAGCTAGGGGGGAGGGCCTCGCCAGTGAAATGGGTTGTAGAGATATATACATTTGTCCTGTCTACATAGTGAGAAAAATGCCCCTTTGGAACGGAACCACCAATGCTTCCTAAACCCTTTCACTTTTCCTGCCTGGCTTCCCTTATTTTTACTTCCTGTTGTCCATAATTGGGTTAAAATGACGCCTTCTCAACCTCCTCTTTGGGATATTTTTTTTTTTAGAAATTATTGCATAGCTTTGACTACACTTCTACCTTGTATTTGTATGATTGTATGATGCTTGCTTCAGACATGTTACAGTGAGATATACAGAGGGCAGGCAGATGTTCTCACCAGTTTTGTAGAACTTTAGGCGCTGGCTTCTAGCCAAGTGAGACTCTGAGGAGTTTGTGTTGGAAATGACTACTTTCTCATGACTTTGTATTTTTTATTTTTTTGTACTGTCATATATGGAATCACATACAAGAAGGGTTTTAGTATTTCTTTGTGTCCCCAGAATGTAAGACTTGGTTTGAAAAAGAGAAGGCTTAATAACTATTTGTTGAAATTAAAGATACCTCTACTTGTCTCCTGAGCCAAATGGGCTCTGTTGACTCAGATGGAAATTAATGTGCTATTTTCCTTCCCCACTGTAAATGATGTAAAATGATTACAGCTGGGTCCCCAGCGCTGGGTGGGAAAGGGGGCAATTGTCTTATCTCCCACTTGGCCTCCATGCAGCCATGAGTATGTGGCTGTCCTTGTCATTTTTGTGTTTGTATTTTCTTGAGGTTAGGTAAATGAGGATACCCTGGTGCATGTATCCAGGATGTAGGGTAGGCTTGTACATTCCCAAAGATCTTGAGGTTACCTGAGGCCTGTGGATGGGGCACTTGTTTTTTCCACAAAGTAATAGTGTTGTCTGGCCAGGAAGGCTTTATTGAAGAATATGGTCCATGGCAACATGTCTCTATAAAGCTTGGCCCTTGGACCAGGAGTGGTTGGATAGGGCCCAGCCAAGGTGAAGTAGAAATGTCTTATGGGTTGTCTCGAAAAACCACTTTCCCTTTGGAAGTGGCTTCCCTTTAGCCTCCTCGTGTATGATAACTCTCGAAATCCTGTTAATCCCGTGATTTTGTGCAGTGATTCTTGTGTGTCTACACCTCTTTTCTGCCTTCTTCAGAATAAAGGACTTGTTTCTTACCTGGTTCTTGTGTCTATAGTCTGTAGCTTGTCTTTTGCCCTCCCTCTTTTGGGGGGACGCCTAGACTTGGGAAGACCCAAGGGAGGAAGGCAGGGAAGAGGAGAATGGGCACAGCCATCTACAGACCCTTGACAAAGAACATCCCCATGGGACACAGGAGGAAACTGAGGCACACACAGGTCCGGTGGTTTTCGGGTGTTACGCAGCCCTTCCAGCCTCTGTGCCCACGGCTTGATGTAACACTCCCAGGGAGAGCTGGGTTGGGCCGGTCCTAGAGCCGAGCCCGGGCAATGCCACAGCCTGGTCTCTGTGGAGGAAGCCTGCCCTCCCCTGCTCCAGCACTGCATCAGTGATCCTCAGCAGCACGGGCCCGGAGAAACCCCGCCTCCTTGTGACGTCATTGGGTGAGTCACTCCCTTCCAAGCCAGAAGATCCTCATTCCTGAGTGCCCGCCCTCAGCATCTCTCATTCTGAGACTGGGGTTGCTGTTGCTAGGCAGAAGAACCGGCCTGGCGTGCCCCGCGTTCTCTTCTCCTCGGTAGGATGTACGTAGTTACTCTGTCGAACACGCGTACCGCGCGCCGCGTCCATGCCGACGGTGCTCCGGGAAGACAGGCGGAGAGATGCACTGTTTTGCATGCGGGTCGTCTCCCTGACTGAGGCGAGTACGGTGGCTGGCTAGGCTCAGCTGGCAACGCGGTCCGAACGCGGGCGGCACCGAGCCCGGCGCCGGCCCTTTAAGGAGTCACGTGCCGCGTGATACTTCATCCCTCCCTGTTGCGCTCGCGCCTCTGCTCGGCCGCGGACACTGGGCGGAGCCCAGAGGCGGCCATGCTGTAACGCTCTGCCGCCCGGGACGCGGCGGTCCCGGCGGCTGATCGGGGCTGGGGATGATGGGGACCACGACTCTGCTCCCGGGTAAGAAGCTACCGGTGGGGCGGCCAGGCCGGGCCTGGGCGGGCGGGGAGGGGTGGTGCCGCGCCCTGGCCTTGGTCTATCGGTCTTGGCCTAGGCGGCCTGGGCTGATTCCCAGCCTGCAGGGATATGGCGACTGCTGGCTCTGGCCTGGCTGCTGCACAGGCCAGGGCTCCGGCTGCCCACGGACGCTTCCTCCCGCGGGCCTCGGGCCTGGCGGGGAGGGGTGTTGCCGTCATTTTCTGCTGAAAGTGACCCCCTGGAAGCTGCGCGGGCTCCTTACGCTTTTCGTCCCTCCAAACGGCTCCGCGGGGAGCCCTGAGGGAATACCACGGGCGACGTGGGCGACGGGACCCCGCAGAAACGCAGAGCCCCGCCTTGTTGTGGACTCGAGCTGCGTCACCAGCAGCAAGCGAGTTAAGGGGCAGCTCCACTTACTGAGAGTGGGCCCAAGGGTGGGAGAGGCCACTGGGACCTCTGTGTTTTTAGTCGTCGGTGCCCCTTTAAATGCCCAGCTCAGTTATGGCCTTTGTTTCTGCCTCCGTGACTCTGGCATGCAGGGCCTGTGACATGACTGTCTTGGTGCAGGGAAGGAGTGGCAGAATTCTCGGGCCTCTTTCCCTTGTGAGAACTCACCTAGCAGAAGAGAAGGAATGCCATTTGGAGCAATTTGCAGTCAGCCATACTAGACTTCAAAGCTAGTTTGCCTTGGTCTCAAATCCCACTCTTTTCTCTGGACAGTTTTATCTGTCCTCCCTCCTTTATGTCCACAATTGCCATATATGATTCCATAAGGTTGTAGGAGGGTTCGTTTCCCTGGTCCACTTATTACTTTTCTGAGAAATGTAAGCATATTTCATATGGTTTACTGTGGCACCATGACTGCCCTCATAACATACATTTCTGGGTCTTTTTGCCCTTCTTCATGTCCCTGTAAAGCCATGTCCATGGATGGGCACTGGTTTGATGGACAGAACACTGAGTTTGGAATCATGCATTCCATTATTAAATCCCTGGGGGATTTTGGTGTAGTGTCAACTTCTCCCATTTGGCCTCAGTTTTCTTTAACTGTAAAAGGAGTGGGGCTGATGAATTACAGGCTATAAATAGCTAGATGAGAGCATACCCCAGTTCTCTAACTGTAGCAGAAATGCTCCTTTCAAATGGCTAAGGGGCAGCTGTGTGGTGTAGTGGATAGCTGGCCTCAGACTAAACACTTGATACTTACTAGCTATGTGACCCTAGGCAAGTCATTTGCCCCCGATTGCCCCCCCAAAAAAAATTGCCAAAAGTACCTGTCGATGCTGAAGGATATATGGGAAAGAAGGCTCACTAATGCTCACAGGAGCTGTCAGTTGTCAGTTTGCCCAGTCTGGGAAGCTGTATATGGAATTAGGCAAGCCTGCTGGTCAACTGCTCATCCTCTCCACCCAGTGTTCCAAATAAGGTAAAAGATCAAAAAGAAAAAAGAGAACTTGCGAAGTGTCACAAAGCACATTCTTAACAGCAATTTTCAGTTGGTCACAAAGTATAATTTTTTTCTAAAATTCAACTTTATTAAATTTTTAGTTTAGGATTCTTTACCTCCTAACCTACCCTACATATTGAAAAAGTAAGGAAAAGCAAAACCTGTTATAAATATGTATAGTAGTGCTAAACAAATTCTGCGATTAGCCATGTCCGAAAAAAAGGAAATGTGCTTCATACTGTACTCTGAGTCCATCATTTTTCTTGCCAGAGTGACATAAGTGGTGCATCATGAGTTTTTTTTAGAATTGTGGTCAGTTATTGTGTTGATTTGAATTGCTATGTCTCTAAAAGTTCATTACCTATACAATATTTTTATTTTTGCAAAAATTATATTCCTGGTTCTCCTTACCTTTATCTGTATCATTTCATACAAGTCTTCCCAGGTTTCTCTCTCCTTCATCATTTCTTTCAATTCAGTAGTATTTCATCACTTTTATTTGCCATAATCCCTTCAACCACTATGCAATCGATGGGACTCCCCTCAATATTCAATTCTTTGCCACCACAAAAAGAGTTGGTATGAATATTTTCATACATAGTGGTCTCTTTCGTCATTCTTTGATCCATTCCTAGGTCAAATGATATACACAGTTTCAGTGCTTTTTAGCCAGATTTCCAAATTTCTTTCCAGAGTGGTTGATCTAATTCAAAAGTCCATCAAAAGTGAGTGTACCTGTTTTCCCACAACCCCCAGCATTTCTCATTTTCCTTCTCTGTCATCCTGGACAATCTAATGGGTATTAGGTGGTGCCTCAGAGTTCATTTCCTTTCCATTTCTCTGTGTATTAGTGATTTATAGCATTTTTTCATATAGATAATGATAGGTTGGATATTTTCCTCTCAAGACTTCTGGTTTTCTGGTACATTGACAGTTTCTCAATGGGAGCAAGACTTAGAAACTTGATTCATTTCCACGTATATTCTAGAAATGACAGCTTTATCAGAAATACCTGCTTTTGAATGAATTTTTTCTTACTTTTCCAAAAGAACCAGTACTGAATCCATTGCCTATATACAAAAAAAAAGTTGTAGTTTCATACAAAACGATGCTGTTGGGGTTGGAGATGCTGTGTCAGAGCCTAAATTAGGTGACCAATCAGGGTGAGCTTCCAACTTTCAGTCCCTAGTCCCCTGCTCTCTCCCCAAGAATCTTGCCTCCACACATTCACCTCTTTCCTAGTGAAAGGATATTCCACCGCTCACACTTCTCACATGCCTATACTTGCTTGGATCCTTCCAGGATGCAAAGGAGATAGGAAGAAGCTTCATCTCTGTGGGCACTTCCTGCACTGAATGAAGAGATGCTCGGTTAGCTTATCACACTCTTAGGAAGCCTTACAGAAGAACTCTCCATAAATAGGAGCTATTTATTCTCCTGAAGGCATTTAGAAGGAAACCATGAAGGAGAAGTGGGGCTCCACAGCTGCCTGGGGACCTCACAGGCCCTGCAGGGCAGAGGCTCTGCCAGGGAGTCTGGAATAGGAACTCCCATGTTTTTGTACTTCCTATACCACATGGCATTTGGTGCCTCCCTGCATCCATGGGAGGGCACTGCTCAGGTGGGCACTGTGAGGCTCAGAAAACTGAAGAGCCTTGGGCCAGCTCCAGTGTGGGGGAAGGCAGGTCTCCAAGCCGCTTCCTCCTCTTGCTCCCACCATTATTCATTGACTTCATGCTCACCCCTATAGGGGGGCTGTGGGCTGCATTTGTTTGAGAGAATTTCCTCTGACAAATAAGAGAAGACTGGGGTTCTGGCACACTATGGAAACATTGGGGAGTATCCTCTGTGGTGTCAGGAAATCACAGGGGAGCTCTGAGATCCTCACCATTGTGAAGCCTGACACTGACCTTGTGTGAAGTCCTTGCTGACTTAATGTTGACATTTCTTTACAGGCACTCCATTCACTGCCCAGTGTGGGCTTAGGAAGTCTTGGGAAGGCCAGCATCAGGAGACTGACGGTTGGTGATGTTCTCCAGGCCTGGAGACAGCTGGAGAGGCTTTGGAGAGGCCACATCTCTAGGCCAGGTTGGAGAAGAGCCCCCAGACTCAGCTGTCCTTCCTGCAGGACAAGCTGAGCCTTGATTATTTCCCTGCCTATGGCTGGCTCTTTGTCAACGAGGCAGACAGGGCCCCCTGGAAATTGGAGGGTGCCCAAGGCTCCTTGGTGGAGCCTGCTGTGGACTGGTCTGCAGCTGCCACCTTGACCTCTCAGCTGCAGCAGAAGTGGGGAGCCAGCCCTCACCATGTGGAACAGACCACCCTGAGGGAGCTGAGGCTGAACACCCCCCACTCTGCCCAGCTGCTGAGGAGAGGGAGCCAGCCCACCTTGATGGCACCCAGCAGTGACACAGAGACATCCCAGGACCAGGGAAACCCAGCTCCAGTCAGAAAAAACAGCCTCTGCAGCCAGTCATTACTGGGCAACCTCCAGGGTGGCATGGGTGGGTGTCTCTTGTCTGGAGAGCTGGAGGAGTAGCTGCTGGGGGAGACCCTGCCATCCTGGCCATCACCACCACTACAAGTGACATGCAGCACCCTGGAGCTGGGCATCTCCACTCCAAGCAAGGCCTTCCCTGTGACCTAGAACAAGCAGAGAAGAGGCCTGACTGCCCCCTCTACTGTGGAGCTCCAAAGTTCCCTGTGATTGGCTCCAGCTGGATTGACTCCACAGCCCAACTTGTGCTGACCTCGAGCCCCTCTTTAGCTTCTTCCTGGAACTCCTTCTGGTCATTTGCCTTCTCCCCAAGAGCAAGCTGATGTGGATTCACAATGGCTGGGCTTCAGATCCAGAAGGTCAGCTCCCTCCCTGCCTCTATGTAAGAGGCAGGAACACACAAAAGGCTGCCCCCCCTGAAGCTTCCCAGTGTTCCCTCCCCCTGTGGTGGGTGACTCCCAAGGTTTCCAGGCTCAGGCCTTCAGAGTGTCAGTGTCAGAGATGGCTCCTGTGGCAGTGACCCAGATGCCCCTGCCATCTGCCCTTCACTCCCTGTGTCTACAGAGGGAAAGGCCTCAGTTTGAAGGGGACATGACCACCAAAGGTCCCCAGGGCCTGCTGCTAATTGCACTTCTTTGTGGAAGATGCCTTTCTTATTAGGCCCAAAAGAAATGTCCTTGAGGAAGGGAAGGAAGAGGGCTCTGGCTGACATCTAGGTGGGACAGAGGCAGCAGCTAGTGAAGGCCTAGAAGTGAAACTTGGAGCATTGTCCTGGTGTTTGCCAGTTGCAAGATTTTGTTGCTTTGTGACTGGAGTCCAGCAAGCAGTAGTGGAATGGAATGGAATGGATGGCTTCCAGGGCGCTATCACCTAGACCCGAAGGAAAGAGCAAAGATGGGCGATAGAAAGGGGCTGGGGGAAGAGTTGTTGACAGTGACATGACCCTGAGCTGTATCCCCAGCAGCTGAAAGTCCAGCCACCTCCCCGTGTCTTCCTTTCCTTCCTTTATGTGTCTTATTCCAACCTGACAAAAGAGAAGTCACATAAAGCATCATGGTCCTCAAAACATCCATCAGCCTCTGGCCCATGGAGTCATGGCTCTTAGGGGAGCTTTAGGGGGGCTGCTTGCTCCTGAAAGAGGTGGATTATCCAGGATACAGAGGCAAAGCTAGCATGGATGGCAACAGACCTTCCAATCTGCTGTCCCAGACTGATATGGACTGCCTCCCAGAAGGGCTGCAGTATCCTTGTCCAGAGCATGCCCACGGGCTACTGGGTCGTGATGTTTAGAGCGTGTGGTCCTTGGTTCCTTTCCAAAGTGAAGAGTCTTTGGTTCTGCCGTTCCTGATGGTGTGTGGACAAGTGGTGTCTGCCTGCATCCCGAGGTGGGAGCTTGGAGGCCCAGCCTCTGGACACTGGATCTCCTGGATGACGGACTGACGCTGTATATATGAGTACCTTCTCTGTAATGATCTTGTTTGTTCATGCAGATCTGTGGTCGAATGCAGGGATTGTTTCTCCTTTTTTCCCCCAAACCTCAGAATATTCCCCAGCGGCTGGCATGTAGTAGCTGCTTTGTAAATGCTTATTTCTGTAGAGCAGCTGGCTGTCCCATTCTTGGTTCAGAGAGACCTGCCTCCAAATCCTGCCCCAGACATGCAGTAGCTGTGCGACCCTGGACAAGTCTCTTAGGCTTTCTCACCTCTGCTTGCTCATCTGTCAGATGGGCAGAAGGCTGGCCCTCCCTCACAGGGTCAAATGGCATACCATATGTATATTGCTTTGCACCTTAGGCTGCTGTATAAATGCTAGCTACCATTATCATCTTAACTGTCGCTGGACAGACATTCCCTCAGTTCTCTCCTGAGCCAGAGGAGCTCAGTAGACGCAGATACCTCAAAAGGGTTTTCTTCCTTTCCCTCTGTGAATCATGTAGATTGGTTCCAGATGGGTCCCCAGAGGTGGGAGACAGAAGGGGCAGTGGTCCCCTCTCCTACCTGGCCTTCCCTGGCCATGGCATCATGGCCTCTTCCCCCCGCTCCCATTTTTGTGTCTGACTTTCCTGGTCTTCTTCCACCCAGAATCCCCTGGTGCATCTGTCAAGGCCTGACAGTGAGTGGGACAGCTACCCTGGTCTCAGCAACAGGGGCTGGGGTCAGGGCAAGATTCTGTGTCAGGCAGGGTGGCCAGCAGCTTGATGACCAAGTGGGGACTGCTGTCCCTGGTCCAGTGATGGAGTGGTCCCATACCAGGGTTTTTGGTCTTGATGGTGTTCCCTTTGCCTCCTGCCCTGGACTGCAGGTCTGCCAGGAGGGTCTCTGGCACTTTTTTCTTCTCCTTCTTCTATATGTAAGGTTTCCTTTGAGTCTTCTCCTGACTGTATCGGCTCCCTCTCATTTAATACCATTCCACAAGGCTTTATTCAGGGCCTCCTCTGTGTCCAGTGCTGGAGATATAGAAAATAGTTTTAAAGCCTTCCCTTACCCCAAGGAGCTGGGAGGAGGTTTGTTCTCTTAATCTGCTCATTGCCCACGTGGGAGATTTTGAACAGGAAAAGACCTGAGAAGCAAGCTATATAATCTGACTCCTTTATTGTATACTTGTGGAAATTGAGGCCCCAAGTGGTTAGGCACTTTTCCCAAGGAGAAGCAGGTCAGGCAGTCTCTGAAACCTGTCCTTTGATTCCCAACACAGATTTTGTTCCCTGCAGTAGAATAGGTCTCCCTTGGGGAGGTTGAAGGTAAATGTTATGAGAACTTGGCCCTAGATGACTGGGACTTTCAGCAGCATTCCGTCCCTGCTGCAAGCACCCCAGAAGTCTCTGCTGACTGTCAGAGAAGGGGCAGGAGCTGTTCCTTTTCCATCCCAGACCTCTCTGGTATAGAGGTGTATCTGGGCAATCCAGCAGTACAGAAAAGTCCTCCTTGGGGGAAGGGCCATCACTGCTTCCCAAACCCTTTCCCTCTTCCTGTTGGCTTCCAATTTTATCCCTCTTTCACAACTACCATAGGGCCAAAGAGGGCCCTTCTCCCCCTCCTACTGGAGAGCTTGACCTAGAGACTATGGAACCTTGAGGTCCCTTGTTCTTCCAGAGTTGTGTGATGTTTGCCTTCTGACATAGAAGGGGGCTTGTGCAGAGCATGGGCTGGATGTTCTCAGCCTGTTTCCAGACCTTTGAGGGCCTGCTGCTAGAGAAGGGAGACTCATCTCTGAGGGGTGTGTGTTATAAATGGGGTACTTTCCATTAACCATGTATTTTCCTTTTGTGTACTGAGGTATATATGTGATCACCCAAAAGGAAGGGTTTACTGTTTCTCTGTGTCCCCACCATCTAGCAGCAAGTTTAAAGCTGGGAGGACTTAATCACTCTTTTAATCTCTTGTTAATTGTTTAAAGATTCCTTTTATTGTCTGCTGAAGCAAAAGCTCAGTAGAATTAGTCAGTACAAAAGGGCTATTTTCCTTCCCCACTGTGAATCCTTTAAAGTGGTTCCAGCTGGGTCCCCAGAGTTGGGTGGGAAAGGGGGCATTGTCCCTCTCCCACCTAGCCTCCATATGGCTACAAGGCCATCCCTACTGTGTGTGTGTGTGTGTGTGTGTGTGTGTGTGAGAGAGAGAGAAAAAGAGAGCAGTATGTTTGTGGCATCTCTGAGTGGTTATGGCTGCATGGGTGAATCTGAGGCATGTTTGTGTGGGTGTGGATGTGTGACGTGTTTGAGTGGCGTTGGGTGTGTATCCTTTCTTAATCCTAGGTTACTGAGTATCAAAGTCTCCAGCAATTGGTTGGGTTTATGGAGTGCAAAAGGTGTCAATGTTAGGACATGCCTGTGGATGGAGCTCTTGTCTTTTCCACAAGGTAACAGTGTTGCCTGGCCAGGAAAGCTTTATTGGGCAATGTGGTCCATGGCAATATGTCTCTATAAAGCTTGGCCCTTGGACCAGGAGTGGTTAGACAGGGCCCAGCCAAGGAGAAGTCGAAATGCCTGATGGGATGTTTTGCAAAATCACTTCCCCTTTAGCCTCCTCGTGTATTGTAACTCTCGAAATCCTGTTAATCCCGTGATTTTGTGCAGTGATTCTTGTGTGTCTCCACCTGTTTTCTGCCTTCAGAATAAAGGATTTGTTCTTGTGTCTATAGTCTGTAGCCTTGTCCTTTGCCCCACCCTTTTTTTGGGGGGACGCCTAGACTTGGGAAGCCCAAAAGAGTAAGGGGGGGGGGATGTGCATTGCCGTTAACAGGTCCTTGACAAAGAGCATCCCCATGGGACACGGGAGGAAAATGAGGCACACACAGGTTCGATGGCTCTCAGGTGTTACGCAGGCTTTCCAGCCTCTGTGCCCAGGGCTGGATGTGCCGGTCCTAGAGCCCATCCAGAGCAAAGTCGAAGCCTGGTCTCCGTGGATGAAACCTGCCCTTCCCTGCCCCAGCAAGGTGTCCGAGACCCAGAGCTGGACTAGCCTGGAGAAACCTCGCCGCCTCGTGACGTCACGTGGGCGGGGCATTCCCTCGTGAGCCACAAGATGCTCTGGCATCCCTGAGCCCCACCTCAGCGTATCTGGTGGGGTCCTCCCAGGCCTGTGGGGCAGTAGGGGGTGCTGTTGCTATGCCGAAGAACCGGCCCGGCATGCCTCGCGTGCCCTCCTCGGTAGGAAGTACATAGTTGCCGTCTCGATCATCCAGCCTGGGGCCTCTCGGGTAAGGTCGCAGTACCCTGCGCCGCGTCCATGGCGACGGTGCTTGGGGAGAACTGGGGGAGGGACGAAGAGCGGTGTGCGGGCACACTCCCTGATGGGGGTGAGGACGGCGGCCGGCGAGGCTCAGGCGGCTTCGGGGCCTTGTAGGCTGTTTGCGCTGAGCGAGGCGCGGGTCCTTTAAGGCGTCACGTGTCGCTCCGCGCCTGTCCTGGCCGCGCCGCCTCCCTGGTGGGCTCGAGCCGGGGTCCTGCAACGGAGGCGGGGCGGAGCCCGGAGGCGGCCGCTGGTGTGGCTTTTGGCCGCTCAGGACTCTGCGGTACCTGCGGCTGCCCCGGGCGGCGGCCGGCGAGCAGACAGGCGGGCGGGCGGCGGGGACCACCACTCTGCTCTCGGGTAAGGAAGTACGGCCTTCCGAGCTGGGGGGGGGGCCAGGCCTGGGGACGGGGCGGGGCCTGGCCTTGGCCTTGGCCTGGGCAGCCAGGCCGGTTCCCAGCTTGCAGTGATTCGACGCCCTCTGACAGCGGTGGGGCTGTGTAGCCTAAGGGCGAGCGACAGCGGGGGAAACTGAGGAGCACCCCCTGAGCTCTTTGCTGCTGCTGGGCCCCTGCCCGCAGCCCCGGCGCGCCCTTGAACTTCCCTGGGCGGTCGGACGGGCGTGCTGTTCCCTGGGCCCGAGGCCTGAGACGGGGGAGAGCGGTCCCTCCTGGCCGGAGGCCTTCGGGAAGCCTTCCTGGAGGTCGGGGCATTCGGCTGGCCTGGCTGCCCACGGCTGAAGCCTCCCGGACGCTTCCTCCCTTGGGCCACAGAACTCTGGGCTGAGGGTTAGGGGGCCGATGGTGGGGGGGGGGGGAGTTGTTGCTTTCACTTTAGCAAATGGCTTTCGATGCTTTACACCATTCCTCCCCCCAAGGCCAGGCAGCTGGTGTCCTTCCTTTTTTACGGAAAAGGAGAAGGAGGCTCCGGGACTCTTGGCTACTTGCCTTGGAGCTCAGAGCCCTGCCTGAGGTTAGGTTCCTCTGTCACACTTTCCTGGTAGGGTCTTTGCCCTATTGGTCATCTTTTATGCTCCCGTTGTCGTTTTTTCTTTATATAAGTAGTCATATCCGAAATTTTCTGGGGCTTCTCGGTCATATAATGTCTTATTCTGTATTTCAACAATAGTCTTTAAATTCCGAGTCCGCCCTGCCCCCTTTTCTGCTGCTGCCCACACTGTCACAAATTTCCCTGGTCTGCTTCTTATCATCATTGCTCCCATATGGTATGGCAGTTCTATAAGCCAGGTGGAAATCATACTTGCTTCCATTGGAAATAGGTGAAAACTGAGTCTTATCTTGGATAATTGTTTTCACAACTGGCTAATGGTAGCACAAGTGCCATTTTCAGGGCACGGAAGGGTGGCTTTTATGAAGTTAATGACTGAAGTCAGAGAGTGCAATGGATAAGCCAAGCTGAACTCCCAAGTAATACATTTTAACAAGAAATGCTTCTTTAGCACCCACTGTATATGCAAAGCACTCTGCTGGGGATCCGCAGGGAAAAATAGAGAAATAGTTCTTGTTCTCAAGTAGTTACCCTTCTACTGGGGAGAAATTGGTATGCAGCTAAGTTACTATAAAAGTTAGAAGTAGTTTCATGGCATGTTGAGAAGGGAAGAAGGCAGATGATAGCCCAGTTGATAAAAGTGTTGGGACTAGAGTCAGGAAGACCTGAGTTCAGATGTATCCTCAGGTACTTATTAGTAGAGTGACCCTGGCAAGTCACTTAACTTGTTTTCCTCAATTTCCTCACCTGTAAAATGTGGGTGATAATAGCACCTACCTCCCAGCTTTGTGAGATAATATTGCTAAAGCTTAGCACATCGCCTGGTCACGTAGTAGTAACTATAGAAATGCT